TGTGTTATTAGTTAGTAGTCTATAGCTAGTCTCTAAGCTAACCAGTGAGCTAGTGTGTTATTAGTTAGTAGTCTTTAGCTAGTCTCTGAGCTAACCAGAGAGCTAATGTGTTATTAGTCTGTTCGTGCTCAGTAACATCGCTGTTGTCCTCAGATCTCACAACCTGCAATCATTAATTTTAAAAGAATTTTCCAAGACATGGAGACTAATTAAAATACATGACCCAGTTGCACTGAGGAAACAGTAGGCCTCCTCCGCGTGGACAGCATTTATCGTTGAAGTGGAATCTCTGAGCAAAGCATCGCTGTTGCATCGAGCTCGACACTGCTGTAGATTATTGACGTCCAGCATGAAGAGCCGCTGCTCTTCTCAGCCATCTGTTGGTTCATTATTCAGCTCCACAGAAAGGTCAGCGCTGCCTCTCCTCCATCACTCGGCTTCATTTTATTAACTCTCTCTGTATGTGGAGGCTGTAACTTTATAAGTCTGACATTACGCTGATAATTCATCTCATCCTGCCCAGGAAGCTATTAAATCCTACACACAGATAAAGGACGTAAAGACCAAAAACAAATGGAAAGAAGTTTAGTTTGAAATGAAAAATCAGTGTTCTCTCAGGCTGCCAGCTGACATTAATTGAAAATGAATTCTTGTTCATCAGTGGGACGGCTGGAGAGTGAGCGTTGCCGCCTTACAGGACAAACAGCAGCTATTTATGAGTGTGCATGACTGAGGAGAGGAGTCGTGTTGTTATGGTGGTGATTTAAAGCTTCCTGAGATCACTGCTATGAAACGTCATCAGCGTTTCAGTCTGCTGAGCAACAACAAGAAGATAAAGGAGGAAACTCTACTGGCTCCACTAAAATGCCACATTCTCTACTAGATTCAAAGTCTGAACGAGAATTGGGTTTTGGGCTCAAAGGGTTTCTATGAAAACCGACTCTATCCCAGCAGACAGGTGATGGAGGCTCTGCTGAGTCTCAGTGAAAACACACTCCACAGAAACGCTTCGGCCTCGACAAGCCACCGATCCGAGGAACCGCTCAGCGTATTATCTGGTGCCTCGGAGAGCATGACGCTGAAAGTTCAATGCAAACTGTTCTCATTCCAGTGAGGTGTGCAGATGTTTCCACCAGCAGGTGTCAGAGCTCACACAGAAACTCGGAGCTGCACCTGAACGCAGCACGGCCAGTTTTTACCAGTGTTTGTGTCCTGAGGGACGCTGGAACAATAGTTGTGTTTTTCACGGGAAGCCGGTTCAGGACAGAAGTCATACATCACCATGCTGAGGGTGTGGACGCTGAAACTGCAGCGTTGTCACGTTTCCTGATGGACACACACTCTGCAGTTTGTGTTGTGTTTAATTCCCCACAGAAACCAACAGAGGAGACAGATTCTGCCTCCTTCTTTTCACCTTCTTTTCTCTCTGTCCTCCCCCTCACATCTGTCTCTCTCTTTCTTCCCCTTTGTCTTTGACAAACCATCTCCAATCGCATTTCTCCACGCTCACGTCGCAGCACTTGTTGTGTGTGTGTGACAGTAATCTGATTACAGCTGCAGGTCGCCGGCGGCAACACCTTTTGTCCTGCGATCCGCGGCTCTTAAACGGGAGTGTGTTGGTGCGCCTGAAGGCCGACACACACTTGGTGTGACAAGACACAAAGCAAAGTTAAATATAAACACAGAAACACGAAGCGCTATCTCAGAGCAGCATCTGCTCAGGCTGACGGATCCTCCATCAGCCATCATGTCGATTAACACACCGCGCGTCACACACACGCTTCACATCTGCAGCCTTGTTCTGCATCAAAAGAAAAACATACATCTCGATTCGCTTCAAATTCTCCTTATTTTTATAACACAGGATAAGTGAATCACATGAGGCTCCATTTTCTGTTTTCTTTGGCGTGAAGCGACCAGAGGAGCGTCTGATTGGCTCTCATGTATGTGCTGAGCTGTGAGACGGCGACACGCTAAAAAAACTAAAGATAACATTTCTGCAGCTTTAGCACCAAAAACAAAAGTACCGGAAAATAAGCATCATTAAAATCTAATTTTGTTTTTCAACGTTTAACGATATGACGAAAAAAACGACGACATTCTCTATAAACGTGGTCTGTGGATCTGCAGCAGCTTCATCTACTGACCAGAGTTCTACCTTCAGACTGTGAAGGTTCCAGAGGTCCAGGTCCTTCAAGTCCACAGAGGAGGGTCCAGATTGATCACTTTAATGGACTGTTTCCATCATTTCTGAGCCTCAGAACTTCATGGATGGATATAGAACTGATGTGGTGTCAGGTTCTACCAGAACTCAGACGTGTTCTTCATGTGTCTATCTGCTGGACTGATGAAGTTCTGGGGCTCAGGCTTGACATGAGATTTTGTTTAAAAAGCCGTTTCTGTCTTGGATCTGAGCCGTGTTCAGGAAACACAGAATCCTTCGTCTGAGATGAAACACCGAAGAGCTCCGAGCGTTCCTCTGCCTGCACGGTTCTCTTCTGGGTTTTTAGTTTTGTGTCAAGTCTGACACATCAATGAATCCAGTCATTAGCAGGAGCTTTGTCCGCATTCAGGAAATGGAGAGGTCTTTGATTTCAGCATGCGGCTTGTTTGTTTGTGTGCAGAGATGAATTGTGGGTTAATAAACAGGCGTGTGTGTGTTTCTGACTGTGTGTGATTGACACATTAGTGGTTAATCCCCTGTTAATCCTCAGTGTTAGCAGCAGGCTCTGATTAGCCCCGCCCGCTGATTGTTAATTAACCAAATCCCTCGTTACGGCCCGACGACGGAGCCCAGACAGCTGTTGACATGACGACTGTTACCGCGGATACCGCCTCCCTCTGGGCCCAGCGACAGGCGTTTAGCAGTCTGTCAGAGTCGAGTGTAGAAACCTGGATGTACACGGGCGGCGTTCTGCATGTCGGTTTCAGGAGGAGGCTGAACGAGTGTCTGTGAGGTGACAGTTTGCTGTTTGAGCTGCAGCTCCGGCTTCAAAGCGCTACACATCGTTGTTTTAATGTTTAACGTCCGAGTCATGAAAAGTTGATGAGGTGGGAGATTGATGCTGCTGAATATTTGAACAGGTGAGTTACCTGACGGGAGCTCCTCGGCTCTGAGCCGGTTTCAGCAGGACGGTGACGGTGGAGTCGGTCTGGTTCAGAGGAGACTCCTGATCGTACGCCGGCATCAGAGGAGCTGAGGAGGAGGAAGAGGAGGAGGAGGAGGAGGAGGAGGAGGAGGAGGAGGAGGAGGAGGAGGAGGAGGAGGAGGAGGAGGAGGAGGAGGAGGAGGAGGCCCAAATGAAACCAAAAAGTGGAAATTATTCAGAGATCGCAGACACGTAAAAAACCACGAAGCTAACTGGAGTATTTACACGAAGCTCAGCTGATATCTGCTTATCAGTGCTGTGAACAGCTCTACCTGAGATCTTGGTGGTGAACTGTGTGATGACCGGAGGGCCGAAGCCCTTCACGGTGGAGGCTCTTATTGTAAAGGAGTAGGTGGAGCCTGGAGACAGGCCAGCGAACATATGGCTCGTCTCATTGGCCAGTTTGAACACCTTGCCGCTCTGATTGGACAGGTCGAACTCTGTGTCGAAGGAGCTCAGAGCCTTGTAGGAGATCTGTGGAGGACAGCGGGGTGATGAGGGGATTGTGGGTAATGGAGTCTCAGAGTGGCTGGCGTTTTGCTGTTTATTTTGTGATTCCTGAACTTACACTGTCAGGAAGAAGCTCTCTGACTGGACCAGCTGGGCGCCGTAGTGCTTACCTCGTACTGCCGGATGAGGCCGTAGGTCTGCAGTGGCTCCCCCCAGCTCAGGCTGATCTGCTGCTCGTAGCTGCTGCCAACGATCGACTCCACAGGAACCGCGCCAGGAACTGCAAGAGAACAGTCGGCGTGATTCAGCTGCAGACATCCTACGTGACCCTACGTGACCCCCTTAACCCCCCGTGACCCCGGACTCATACCGTCCTCGTCCGTCAGCACCAGAAGCTCCTCGCTCTCCTTGCGGCCCTCAGGGTTGGTCAGGACAAGTCTCAGGCTGACGTTGGTGAACGGCGGAAGGTTACGTACGGTGTGCTGCGGCATGTTGCTCAGCGTGTCGTACACCACTTCCTCCCGCAGCTCGTTCTTCAGCGGCTCCCTGCGAAGGGCGGGACGTTACCTGCATGTAACCTCATGCCCCTCCCTCCATATGTTTACCTGTGGAGCCACTGATGTTCTTACCTGCTGGGGGCCCCTGCTGGCCGGTAGCGGTACTGCACTGTGAGGTTGTAGCTATGGCAGCGGGTCACGTTGTATCCGAACGGTTCCCATCGCACCGTCACCTGTTTGGACTGGATGTCAACAACCTCGAGGTGCTGCGGGCCGTGCATCGGATCTGACAAACAGAACCAAACATGTGATGAGGGTTTCAGCCTGAACACATCTGACGTCCTTGAACCTCCAAATAGCCGTGTTCTCAACGTTCACTTCCTGATCTGTGCTGAATAACATCAAAACACACTGAAAGTGATGTGTTCCTCCATGAAACACCAATCACAGCCTCCAGAACCTCCTCAGAACATCTGGTTCTGGTTCTGCAGAACCTCTATCTACTGACCAGAGTTCTACCTTCAGACTGTGAATGTTCCAGAGGTCCAGGTCCTT